CGATTGGACCTGGCCTGACTATGAAGGTAAATAAATTCAAGCACTGATGCATAAAATGAGAATCTGATTTGTTAAAATGAAAGGAACCTATATGTCAGATATCACACTGAAGAAGTTTCTCTAAAATCCTCAGTTATTACTATTTAAAAACAAACCTTTATAATAAAGATTTAGCTAAGTGTCTGTGTGGTTCATTTATAATGTTAATTAGAAAGGCATTTTGTTTTATGACATTTTATCTGTTCTTCCTATTAGATTATAGGCCCTTTTGAGGCAATAACTGTATATTTGCTCATTCATTTAACCAATTCATATGTTGATTTTATATGATAGCAAAAGTAATAGGTGCTAAATGTTGGAAACTTGACACCTCCTGTGTCCAAAAAAAAAAAAAAACCTGGGCAGAGATCCAAATACTTTACACACCAGTGAATCTCTATAGACCACATATAAAGGAGGCAGTATAGGACAGTCATTAAGGGCAAAGATTCTAGAGTCGAACTGCCTGGATTCAAATTTTCCAGCTTCATAACTTATTGCCTACATGATAGTATTTCTGGGAATGTACTCAACATCTGTAATTTGTAGTTTTCTCATCTGCAAAGTTGGGATAATAGTGGTATATGTCTCATAAGTCTGTCCTGAAGACTAAATACGATAACGTGTATGATCATATTAGCACAGTGCCTGGCACATAATAAACACCCAAAAATGTTATCTATAATAATAATTATGATAACAAATTTTTCCTATGGAGCTATATACTTCATAGAGAATGACGTGTTTCATGGCTACAAACAATACTCCTACCCTTGATGAATTCGTGCTGCTGGTCAAAGGGTAGATAGTACATTTAAAGTAGAGAAAAATATCTAATGTACTGCATGGAAAACAACTTACTATGTAAAGTAGAACTAACATAATTTTACATACTACCCACATCTACAAATCTAAGTGCATATCCCACTGAAAGTGAATCAGTGCAGGTATAATTATCTTCACATATAAACGTTATTTCCATCACTAGAAGTTATGTTTCCAACTTAAAACTGTCTTCTCTTATTACTAACCTTTGACCATAGAGCTTACTTTACCAATGAATGCTCTACCTAAAAAACAAATAATCTTCCACATATTTGTGATGTACCAATTTGGCATGATTTCAAAGATAAAGAAATCACTTATCTATAAAAGAGTAAAGCAATTTAAACAGTAACGCTTTTGTTGATATAAAAACCCCAATACTGCACTACTCCCGTCAACAACTAGCACTGCCACCATCCAGCTTTACTCTGGAAATGGTAACCGATATCTCCAGCACTAGTATGGAGAGCAGATATCATTCATACTTTAATCTAAATTTTGATGTATGAACCAGGAAAAACAAACCCTTGGTTTTAATAAAGGCACAATATCCTAATGATAGGAAAAGGGGATGTAAAATGTTCTTTAAAAATTATATAGGAGGAAAAGGGAAAGAACTGTAACTACTTCATGAATACTCAATCATTAGTTTAAGAAAACAAGCTTGCTCTCAAGTTTTGTCAATAAAAAGAAATCTCACTGTTAACATAAAGTGATTTAATGTAAATTGATGTGCAGTGTTGCTATACATACCTGTATAGTTGTCATCTGATGAAAATTTGTTAATAGCAACATCAAAAAACATATATATATTTAATCAAACATCTATAAAATCTTTTTCTCTGGGCCAAATGCTATAAGCGGAGGGCACCAAGAAGATGTTTTTAAAAAGTAATTTCTACAGCACAATTGTAGTTTTATCCAACAGTCTGTAGCCTATTGACTGGCTAAACCCTACCCCCATTAAGATGCTCTGCATCAAAAAAAGCATTTTTAAATCATCTGTCTACTTTGATGGAAGAAAATTACGGCATGCATAATTAAAAATATTTGACATACATGATTTTTCAGCAAATTAGCTATCATAATTATGCTGTGCTCAGAGCAATATGAAAGTTTTGGGTACACACCTTCTGAAGGATAGAAAGAGGACATGTGATTTGAGGTATGCTAAGTGCTATATGGAAGCAAGACAGCTAACTTAAAAGTGGACCCAGATAAGCTGTAATACAGCAGCTGCTTGTAAAGAATTGACAGTCATTCAACCATGTGAAGGCCTAAGCCATGATCTCATATTAAACAGTTTTTAAAGCTATCCATAATGATCACTCAAATGCATTTAAATAATTTGTCACACACTTATTCTTTAGAGGTTATGTAAAATTAAAGATGATGAGCTTCAGGCTGGAGAACACTTTCTCTCACAAAGCCATTTATTTTTTAACATCTGCCCCTCATCCCCAATAGGACAGTGGGTGGGACTACCCAGATACACTTCTAAGAGATATACTGAGGTTTCAATTCTACATTCCTAAAACTGAATGGAGTTTTTTGCTGGCATTTCACATGTACATCTTCCCCCATTTTCCTTTAAACTGCAACACTGATTCTCCTTTGAAAAAGGAGTATTTTCCTTTAAATAGGTGATGGGCAAATTCTCAATTTGTTCAGGTGCCTTTGTGAGTTAAAAAAAAAAAAAAGTAAAAAAAACTCCGTAACTTAGAAAAAAAAGACGCAAAAGACTTGAAGCCTGAGGCTTTACCTCACGTTTCTTGGTATGTTACCTTAGCATTTCATTTGTAACAAGAATGTTAAAAGGGAAAAGCAGGTCAATGGCTTGAATGACCTGAGGTGGGGGTAGGTTCATGTTGTTTAAGAAAGAGCAAAGGGGAAGAACTTCATCGAGGCGCTGAACACTTTGATGGAAGCTGGATTTTGGAAGAACCAAAGTATAAAACTATAGACAAAATTTAAAGAGTGCGTGGGCTGGGTACAAGCAGTGAAAAGGTTAGCCGCCAGACAAGGAAACACCTGAGGGTGGAGGGAGGGGAGGAAAAGTTTTAAATGCCCACCAGAACCTAATGAGCCATTAATTAGTGTCCCCCACTTCTGACTTTGCTCTTGCCCCCAGAGCAGCTAGCTGCAGGGAAGCAAGCAGCCCTATTTTTAAACACTTAAACCTCTCCCTGGGACTTCAAAAGGCTTGTACTACCCGTATTGCAAATAACGTTTCTTCCTAAACATGAGAAAGCAAATTTGAATTCCCTAGTCAAGGTCGAGGAGAAAGCAAGATAAAAGGACAAAAAAAAAAGTAATTTCAGCGTGAAAGTGCGGTGATGGGCGCGGGGGAGGGGAGAGAGGACTTACCGCAGCCTCTGCAGGCTGCCCCCAAAGACTCAGGGCCAGTAAGAACAAGCCGGCAGCCAGGCTGACTCCACGCAGTTTCATTCTTCTCCGGCTACCGCAGCTCCTTCAGCACCCGCACGAAATCCCCGGCTGGCCCTAACCAATTGACATAATCTTGAGGGTTTATATGGAGAGAGTTAGCGCCGGAGAGGGACAGTGAGGCTTGGGTGAAGAGAAAGAATCTTTTTAAGAGTGAAATTAAAAAAAAAAAAAAAAAAAAAAAAGAAGGAGCTACTCTTCCCTCCCCTCTCCCCTCCCCAAAGCTGGTCTCTCAAGAGAACTTTTCTCTTCTGTCCAGACTTGCAAACTTTTTCTTCACTCAATTCCTACAGATCTACTTTCCTCCCTCTCTTCCCCCTGAAAGGCCCCCCTCCTCACCAGCACAAGGGAATTCTGAGTATCACTCCGCCACAGTTTTAGACTGCACCAGCAACCTGCGAGGGAGTGACACTCAGTTATTTGGCAGAGGGAAACTTCCAGACTAGTTGACTGAACACCATGACCGGGAAGCTTTTCTATTCGTTCATTAGCACCTTCCGTTGATACTACTTTTCTAGGCTCTGTTTAACTCTCATTAGTGTGAGCACCAAAGCCGATTACAAAATGACCTGAACTGGGACTATTTTTTGAGCGGATGGATCTCAGAGAGGCCGTTCTTTTTATTGTTAATCATTAGAAACAAATTTTGGTCGCCGCTCCCTGGGCTTCTGGTCTTCTTTACCTTCCAGCTGCTCACAGAACAGAAAGTTTCTACATACAAGCAGAAGATGTGAAAATATTGGCAATAAATAAAGTATATGCTTATAAACAAGAAAATAAACAAGTATATGTGTGTGAATACCTAATGTGTGTTATGTACATATAAGGTATGGGAGCATTCAACAGGTATTGATAATTATTCTGTGATATAATATTACAATACAGCTATAACTCTTCGTTTAGCTACAATGAATGTCATAAGTAATGCCTCCTATATTAGCTAACGTAAAAGGTATTGGCTCTCATTGTAGTTGTGTTTCAGAAGGATTTAGGGTAGGTAATTAAATAACTTTATTGCAATGTTCCTTAAAGTTAATACAAACACCTACTTGGAAATATTTAAATAGAGTTGGTGGCTGCTGAATCGATATCTCCCAAATAAAGTAGATTTAAATGTTCCTTTGATAATTCCGATATATAGATTTTTCTTTTTAAGTAACAAAAGGACCAGAAAATACTTTCTGCGGATTCCTTGGAGAATCTTCAAGAATTTGCTGAAGAATTCTTCACAACATTTCTATTTCCCTAGAATTAGCCACTTTAGAGTCTTTCAAGATTTTGGATCTTTTTCACAAGGGCCCACTCATCCTTACGTTCTGCTGAGCTCAGCGTAGATTTACAACTCCAGAAACTGTCTCCCCTTCCCAAGAGCCTAGTGTACAATCAATTAGAATCAATGCTGTATGCATTTGAGCATGTGTTTAAGGGCACTTTTGGGCCCATCTGTCTATGTGGGAATAGCATGCCCATGTCTCTTTATGTGTAACTTAAAAGTAAAGTTGAAAGTATGAAAGTATATGATGCACAGTTGCTTAGGTCTTAGCCTATAGGTCTCAAAGCGGCTGTGTGTGAAGCTATGGAGATATTTAAAGCTGTTGAATGTAAAGGTGCCCGAATGTGAGAAACACTACCGGCTGCCCAAGGTAGGGGGGATGATTGACAGCAGACAGCCCCGCCCCTTTCCCCTCCATTCCTTCCTCTCCAGCTGCATGGAACTATCTCCTTAGTGCTGCAAGTTGTAACGGGCACCGCTGAGCCTGTTTCCCTTTGGGGCACTTCTTATCTGGAAGCTGTGTTTAGTTTCTTCCAAACTGGGCTACTTCGTCCCCCTGCTCTGTCCTGAGTAAGGAAACAGCCTCCAAGCATCAGCAGAGCCCCAATGAGCCGGGGCCGCGGAGCCGTTTAGCAGTCTCCCGGGACCCAGCTCCGGAGGAGCCGCAAGCATGCACCCTGGGTGAGCTGTTGCTACCCCGAGCTCCCCTCCTCTTTCCTACTTCGGGTTACTTTGCCAGGCCGGGACTATACTTGTACTTCTGTCACTGCAGAGAAAGTGGGAGCAGGCATCCAAAAGGGTTCGGGGGGCTACAGACAGATGCACGACCCCGAAGCCTAGAGAGCCCATATTACTCACACACACCCCCCGCCCCGCTCCCGTTTCAGGTTGTGGCTGCTCCTGGTTACGTTGTGCTTGACCGAGGAACTGGCAGGAGCGGTGAGTCTCTTCTCACGACCTTTTTCCCTCCACCTCCTTTGACCCTCTCACCATCCCCATCTCTAGTATTTGTGTTAGGTGGTTGCAGAGATTTACACCGGGAGACGGAGTCTACACCACTCCCCTTTCTAAGGAGAGTTAATGAGATTCTTGGAAAGGAATAACATGGTGTCAAGTGCGTGTTTTGGGGACCAAGGTAATTTCAAAAACTTCATAACGGGTTGGAAAAATAAAAGTAGAAGACACAAGATGCACACATTTCTGAGCCTCTTCCACAGACGACTTAAGATGATTAGCATCTGATGCCTTCCTCTGCATCAATCCCAACGGCAGAAGAAACATAATTTGCCCTGGTCTTTAAGAACTTGAATTCGCACACTAGTTTGAGTGTGGGAGGAGAGCACAAGGAGTGGGACTTGAAAGTGCCGCAGATGCTATGGGAATTAAACTTAAGTACATGCTTAGAGTTCTTTGACAGTACCAGGTGACATCTGGATTCTTTAACTACCTGAATTGAACTGATACCACTAGGTGATGTTCAATTTCTATCTGATGTGTCCTCTTACTCTTTTTCTGCATCACCAGAGAGTTAAGAGTTAAAGCGGTGATAACAGAAAAAAAAGTCTAAGTTATTATTTCATAGGCTATTTAGATGTTATCTAAATCAACTAGGGACTGCAGGTAAACAAATTTCTGCAGACATTTGGCGAAGAAAAGTTGTATGGGTCCCAGAAAGTAGAGAAATCGCCAGTGGAATTACTAGGATAATTTCACAAAGATGGAGTGACCCAAATAGTCAAAGATGCTGCAATTTTTCAGTTGCACTAGCTACTTATGCTGGAAGAAATAAAAACTGTTGAGTTTGATTTTGAAGTTGTTCAACTGTTGAGTACCATTTCACTGCTGTATTTTTTTTTTAAATTCTTAATGATACCCAAAGCCATTCACTATATAGAAGACAGATGAATTTATATTCCAAATGTTTGTCTTTTGGCTTTTGATAATTTTAACTGATTGGCTCTACTTTTAAATATTTTAAATATTTTACATTACTATTATAGAGCCATACTTAATTCAACCTAATAAATCACCTAATGTGTATATGAAAAAGTGGATTATTTTATTTTGGCATATGATTTCTTTAAGAAAATACCAGAGTGAAGTGAGGTTATTTCTCTTATAAAGAGAGGATGATGCTAGAAAACTTGAACACCAACATCTTGTGACCCTTTAACTCAACATCAGGGCCTATGTAAGTAAATCTAGACTCCGTGAGCAAAGATACTGAACTAAGATTCTGTGTACTTCTCCATCTTATTCCTTCAATATACACGTTTAGTTATGTATTATCTTAAGGCTCAATACTACATTAATTGAAAATGCCAATATTTCATTAGTTAACAATTCATCCAGGAATCTTGCCACTTGTAAAAGTATCATGATTGGACAGAATACCCTCAAGAAAAACTTTTATTTTTAGACTCTGGCTGATTTTGTTCAGTGTACTTTTGGGATAAACACTACAGATCATTCCAGGTAGCTGAAGACTTCACAAACACTCCATCCATCCTGTCACCTAACATCTTTAAAAGCTGCTGAAGGATGATGCTTGCAATTCTTTCAAGTATTGAAATGAATCTCCAATATTAAGCACTGCTTTGGTGTATGGGTTTTAGACTCTGTCATTGTTTTACAATGTCACCTGCTATGTCAGTGTGATTGACCATGGTAAGTCTAAAATAGACCTTGAGATCCACAGACAACACTTTATTTTTTGACTTACTTAAGTACAGAGCCACTTCCTTTGCTTGTTGATTACTTATTCACAATATCTTTGACATTGTAAAGCCATTTTCTTACGTTTTTGAGAAAATGACAAAAATAAAGAGAGTCACAGAATAAGTTATCAGAAGATGGCTTTTCCGAAGGGATGTTTTGTCTTTCTTTTACATTGGATTCTCATCTATATGGGCAGGCTCTCTTCTACACTCAATTCCAGTCTATCCATGTGCATTTGTTTTTCACCTTTTGGACTGCTTTAAACATTTTAATTCTCTGTGCCATGTTTGCCTAATATTAATGAAAATAGCTATTAAAAATAGATTGGCTGGAACTATGTTGTGGTTTGCTATGAGAAAGTTTCTTCACTGTGAGAATTAAGTTGCCAGTAATATTGGCAAGCATTTAAAGATTGGGTCATTTAGGTGCTTTTGGGCTCTTTCTTTTCCCAAGTTTACAAAGCATATCTATATAAAGTAAAGGAAAGCTAAACGTTAAAATCCATGTTAAAGAATTAGCTTTCATTAAATTTATTTTAAAGGAATAATGATCTTCATTCAGATGAAATATCGCAATTTATCTGCATAAGATAGAGCCTAGGATCTCAGAACATCCGTAATTGTCTTTGGTCTAACTATCTAAGGGGCTGTGCTAAGCTAGGCACAGCATGAAAATATTTTTTTAAACATAGTTATTAACTCTCTAGGAATTTGCTTTCTCAGACAGTGGCAGTTATTATGTTCTTCAGAAGATAGGATGCTTAATGTTAAGTTATTATCTACATGCGCTTGCATTGTGTTACAGAAAAGACTAGAAAGATACAAATCTCACCATTAGCCAAGGTATCTAGGAAAAAATATATATCCCAAAGTAGTCAGATCCTTATGTTTTCTTCACACTTTGCCCCATCCAAATGAGCTTTCAGGAAAGGGTCTGATACATCCAAGCATACTTAAAATCAAAAGCCTAGGGGGATACTTGTTTGGGATGGGAGGATGGTAAGGAGAGAAAGCATTTATATTGTCCTATCTGCAAAGAGCATGGGTAAAATGCCTTTAGCTGCACTCAAATCAAGATCTGATAGCAATATCAACTTCTTTATTTAAAGTTGTAACATGCCTGAGTTGGTCCTTTCTGTGGTGATTTTCAGTCTTAGATAAGTCATCAAAATATGAATATCATGTTAAGGTAGTTCAGAGATGGAGACAGTCTCTTCCTGTTCTAAAGATCAACAGAAATATTTGCATTATCTGGGGCTATGTCTCTCTTAAAGTACTCTTCTACTTTGCCGGCTAGCAAATATCCTATATCAGCTAGCTATGAAAATTATAACATATAATATACATGTGTGTATGTATGTATATAAATATATTTTATATATATATATATATATATTTCGGGATGACTAAGGATACTGATAGAAATGTATGAGTACGGTATCAAGTAAATCATCAATGACTGTAAATAGATAATACATAGATGCTAATATATTTACATTATTTAAAGGCCAAATTCAAATATATTTTAAGATAGAAGAGGAGGGGATAATAGATATTATCTAAAGTGTTACTAAGAAAGCAAATATATTAACATAACAAAAATTATTTTATATATTTGATGACTGTATTTCAGTGTAATCAGTTTTTATTATAATCCCATGTATTTTACTGTATACTTCTAAAACTAGCAGGGTGCAGTGGTATGAGCCTGTAGTCCCAGCTACTCAGGAGGAGGCTGAGGCAGGAAGATTGCTTGAGATCAGGAGTTGAGGCTGTGACACACCATCATCACACCTGTGAATATACTTTACTCTGGGCAACAGCATCTCAAAAAGAAAAAAAAAGTATTCTAAAAAGGAGTCCATAAGCTTCACTATGCTTCCAAAGTAGTACATGGCATTAAAAAGTACCCCTAGTTTAAGAAAATTGATTTTACAAAAACAGTCACTTTCTAATATTGTTCAGACATGAGCAGAATTGTGTTGACTCTAAGTGCCAATAATCTTTTAATTTTTAAGCATAGTTTGGAGTCTCCAATAAATATGCTCATATATTCTATAAGCTCATAATCAAGTCATGTGACTGGAGTAAAGTATACTGTTGCCTTATTACTTCATTAATAGAATAAAACTGATTGAACTAAATTATTAATATTTGTTTTTATTTCCCTGAATTATATGGATCATTTTATAATTTTACCAAAGGTGTAAATGTGGCACACCACAGTCTCAAGCAATCCACACACCTCAGCCTCCTATGTAGCTGGGACAATAGGCATGCACTATGGATCCTTGTTAGAATAATCTTAAAAGTATGGCTGCATGTTGTGGCTCATGCCTGTAATCCCAGCACTTTGGGAGGCCAAGGTAGGTGGATTGCTTGAGCTCATGAGTTCAAGACCAGCCTAGGCAACATAGTGAAACCCTGTCTCTACGAAAAATAGAAAAATTAGCTGGGCATGGTGGTACACGCCTATAGTCCTAGCTACTGGGAGGCTGAGGTGGGATGATGGCTTGAGCCCAGGAGTTGGTGGTTGCAGGTGAGCTGAGATCATGCCACTGCACTACAGCCTGAGCAATAGAGCCAGACCTTGTCTATGCACTTGGAGTGCAGACATGTCTTATGCTGTATAGGTGACAAGACATACACATAAAAAGGACACTGGGGATAGCATCAGCCTATGTTAAACTATCAAGTCATTTATAGCTGCTTCAATGTCCCAGTGAGGCAGATCATAGGGCTTTTACTTGTTTTAAAGTCTAACTAAATGTAAATAGAAGACCTAATAAGCATGCTCAAAGGAAAATGGTGATGGAAAAATAAGCTAAGAGCAATTATCAACTCTCTTACTTTCTTTACTCTATCCCTTTACTAGGGTTTCTGCTTTTCTTCTATAAACAATATTGAAGTCTCCTCCATTATAAAAGTGAATTTTTAAAAATCACTTCATTTTCTTTAATAACTCTAACCTCCTCAATTGCATTAACCCCAAATTCCTGTATATTGTCTAGTCTTCTTCACCAACCACTTACCCTTCAATTACAGTCTCAACTGAGTCTACTCCAGGAAAACTGCCAGCTTCCAAGCTAATAATGGCTGCCTCGTTACCAAACATAGTGGCTTATTTGCAGCCCCCATTCTATCTGACTTCACTGTGTTATCTGGCATTTCTCACTCACTCTGAAACTTCTTTTTCCCCTTGGCTTTTAAGATATTATACCT